GATAAAAAATTTACTTCTGCCTTAATTTGATATAAGTTTGATGAAAGGATTGGATATCATTTTCATCAAAAATTTCATCAAATTTAAATTTGATGAAGGATTAAAGATGCTATTACAAAAGTAGAAATTTTTTTCAGTGTGTAATGTATATGATGTGTAACTCTAAATAAAATTATAAATAATATCACACAAATGTATAAGTTGAATATAAATTCCCGTAATCATGTAAGTTTCACAAAAATTACGTGAATTTGTGTTCAACTTATGTACCTTTGTATAAAATTGTACAGAATGTGCATTGCACACCAGAAAACTACCTTTAACAAGCAATTATTCAATGAAATAAAAGAAAAATTACACTTTGCGTCCTTTATGTTTGGTCACTTTCCTACTTTAGCTCTTAAAATTTATTTTTTCTCAATTTGGCTCTTCATATTTAAAGTTTTTCCTAATTTACTCTTCAACCAATTTTTATTAAAAATTAAACAAAAAATGACACATTAACAGTCATGTAGTATACAAATATTTTATTATATACAACGCACATCTCTAATGTAAACTTACGCTTCGTTTGGGAACAGGCTAATTTAGTAACTTTTTGGCTATTTGGCTAAAAAGGTAGGTAAAAAAAACTTGTATGTTTGGAATGACTTTAATTTATTTTTTCTCAATTTGGCTCTTCATATTTAAAGTTTTTCCTAATTTACTCTTCAACCAATTTTTATTAAAAATTAAACAAAAAATGACACATTAACAGTCATGTAGTATACAAATATTTTATTATATACAACGCACATATCTAATGTAAAAATTTTAATATAATAATATATATTTTTTTATGTTATATGACAGTTATTATGATATTTTCTGTCTAATTTTAGACAGAAATTAACTTTAAAATATGAAGAGTCAAAATGGTCAACATAAACAGAAAAAAGTGTAATTTATTCTAATAAAATACTATATATCATCCGTTTAGTATTATTATTTTTATTACTTTTTTTTTAATATCACTATCTATGCATAAAATGAGAATTTTTTTAGGGTCCCTAATATTAAGATTTTATAGTATAAAGGATATTCAATATTTCAATAATGTCTAAGGTCTCTCAAATTGATCTAGTGAAAATTCAACTTCGTAGAGAAAATTTCACCAGAGAAATCAGAATTTCTCTGGACTTTCTAGAAAAATTCACTTCAACCTAGAGAAAATCTTCAAAATCAGAGAAATTCCCCTCTCTACCCCAGAGAAAATCTCCATCAAAATCAGAAAAATTTACTTGTGTTGTCTGCAATTTGATGGCTTCAGTGATTTGGATGCATGTGACAACATAACACTAAAATTCAAAGGAGATGGAAGATATTATGTTCTTATTGTGAGCTTTCTTCGTTGAGAATGGGCTATTGAGAGGCTTGTATATCTAGTGCTCTGTCTAGGGTTAATAGTTGATATCAGACTCTTTAATTCGTACTGAACTTTTAGCATACTGTGATGCAGATTTATATGGAAAATTTGGTCAATTCGCCTAGGCAGGAGGAGGATAATTCCTAGCAACCCACATAAATTTCAATTTTGTTGAAAAAATGCTAATGCAAAGAAAATCCAAAGTCAGAACCATAAATGCAATAAGAACAATCAATTTGAAGTTGAAAAGTAGAAATCAAACCCAGAGAAATTCTTTGTTTCTCTCCAGAGAAATTTTGATTTTGTTGAAAAAATTGCTAATGCAGAGAAAATCCAATACTAGAGAAATTTGAACAACTAGAGACCTACTAGAGAAATTTGAACAACCAGAGAAATTTGAGCAAAGTAGAGACCTACTAGAGAAATTTGAACAAACCAGATACCTACCGAATCAGTTTTGGCAGATGCTATTGAATGGAAAACAAGTCTCTAATTTTCAAAATTCCATTAGGATTAGTTCTTACTTGGTTGGATGGTGTAGCTAAAGGAAACTCAGGATTAGCCTTTGTAGGAGCTATGATTAGAGTCATCTACCGAGGTTCGCCGGAAAATACCCGTCATCGGCAAGATGAACTTTGCGGCGGTTGTCATGCAAACCGACAGTTTCTTCCTCGCTATGTTGAAGCGCATGAGAAGGAATCAGAGGCTGAAGCTGAAGCAAAAACAGAGGAATGGCGGTAGTAAGGTTGAATTTATTGATTACTTGTCGGAAAAGTTGCTTCTTCTTTGGCGAAACCAACCAGAGCTGAACAATCTAGGGCACTACAAATCAAATTGCGTTGCGGATTTGGATTGATGAATTTGCAGGTTCAGAGAGAGAAGTACGCGATGTTGATGAACTCAAATGCGAATTCGACTCTGAATTTGGATTTGGATTCGAATTCGGATTTGGGTTTGGATTCCAATTCTGATTCGTTTTCGAAAGAGAGATTTGGGAATTTGATCAAATGAGGTTTGAATTTAAAGAGAGAGAGAGAGAGAGAGAGAGAGAGAGAGAGAGAGAAATAAGATTTGATTTGAGAGAGTCAATTTTTTTTGTGATATATGTATATAGGGTTGAGGGACCCTAGATATTATAAAATAATATTGTGGATCTCTTCTATTACTAAAAATGGAAGAGAGATCTTAGACTAATTTTTCCTATAAAATAATACTATTATCCTCTTATTCAATAGTCACGAATATCATCTATGTAATATCATTACATTGTGTTCTTAATTGATGACCAAAATTATTTTGATGTACCCTAAAACCAAAAAAAAAGAAAAAGAAAAAAAGAGAAGATGACCTAACAAAAAATAACTTGAGAGGCACAAAACAACTTATTGTATTTCATGATTTTTATGTATTAACAATATCACATAATATTTTATGACTGTTAATAATTTTTTAAAAATATAGAGTTAGTAATGAATATATTCGTGAATGTGCAGAAGTAACATTAATAAAAGACAAATTGAGAAAGAATAGATTAAGTTGGCTTGATCATATATAATGGAGACCAATGGAGTCAATAGTGAGGAGAGACGATACAATTACGATAGATGGAAATGCTAAGGGAAGGGACAAACATAGATTGATGTGGAATGGTGTAGTGAATAGAGATATGAATCTCCTTAATTTGACTAACAAAATAGTCTTTGATAGAGCCGAAAGAGAAGAAAGATTAATGTAGTTGGCCTTATTTGATAGGACTTGAGGCATAATTTGGTTGAATCTTGTTTTAAATAAAGACAATAAAAAATGTTTCATTTGTAAACGGTCCATTTCAAGGGTAAAGTCGTTATACAACTTATTTTGTGTTGGTTAACTTATATGTGTGTTTGAAACGAAATAGCATTTTTTTTAATGAATAATGTTAGAACTTTTTTGGTTTTAAAGTTCTGTTTGATTAGATTTTCAGAATCTATTTTTATAAAATTTTTCTAAGAAACCAAAAATTAAATTGGTAAAAAAATTAAAAACACATCATTTTTATAAAATTTTATCTTTTGAGAGAGTAGAAATAATTTTTTTAAATAATTTTTTTTTTCTGATATTTGATTTCGTTAAATTAGCTTCTATTTTTTCAAAAGTCAAATATGACGACAATTTTGATATCTTTATTAAACTAATACATTACATTAAAAAATTAAAAATATTTCATATATTAAACATATTAATTATACATTAAAACCTTTATAACTATTACTACATGATAACCATTTAAAAATATCAATAAAACAACTACCTATTATATGATCATCATCCAAACACATATTAAGAATTAATTTAGTAAAAAATAAAAAAATAAAAATGTAAAAGATTTATAATTTTTATATAATTTTATTTTTGATGGGTAGAAATATTTTTTAAAAATTCAGAAATAATTTTTTGACAATTATTTTTTTCAAACTAATTTATATTTTATCAAATTGATAACTTTGTCTTTGAAATAAAGCAATAGTGTCTTCAATTATCCTTATTTAAAACGAAATTCAAAATTTAGAATCAAATATATCACAATTAAAAATTTAAGAATCAAAATAATACAAACTCCAAATTACCGAGGCCGTTATGCAATTGTCAATTTGCAATTGAAAACCTATAAACGTGACATGAATCTGACCTATTGCTCGAGGTATCAATATATAATGTATTAATTTTAAAAATATGTATCATAAAGGAAGTTATAACTTTCATAATAAAAGTTACACAAATAAAAATAAAAATAAAAATATTCTAAAAATGAAAAACCTAATTTCTCATATTATTCACACAATTTGAAGCTAAAGATTGCTTTGAAGAATTTTTTCCCCCATAGTTTGGTTAATTCTATTTATTTTTGTCTTTAATTAAAAAAAATTCAAAATTTTGTGAAATATTTTTACTTTATTAATTTGTTTTGACTAAAGAACCTAATTTTTTCTTTTTTTAAAATAACTGAATTAAAAAGCTAACTGAATTAAACAATTAAAAATTAGAATAAAAAACCATAAAACAACTAAAACATTATGAAGAAAAGTTGAATCAAAACTGAAAACACTTGAATTAACATTTGAAAACAACCCATAAAAACAAAAAAAATACCAGCTAAATTAAATAACTTAAAAATTAGAATACAAAAAAATAAAAAATAAAAAACCTAAAACATTAGGGGGAAAAAAAAGGATGAAAAAAAGAGGAGGAAACATAATACCATAATGATATAAAAATATCAGGTTAAAAGAAAATAATAATGATATAAAAATAACGGAAGTGAATTTGCTCAATTTGGGGGGAAAAAAGAAATACAAAAACACACTAAAATGAACATTAAAAAACAACATAATACTACAATGAAAAACCAACTGAATGAAACAATTTAAAAATTAGAATACGACACATTTTGAGGATAATGACTTTAACCATACAAAAGGCTCAAGAAATTTAAGTCTCAAATCATTTCAAGAAAACATCTAAATATAGCAAAACATTTGCAGAAATACTTAATTAAATGTAGAATAATGATTTCACAATACATACATGAATAAGGACTTAGTAGAGTAACAGCAATAGAAACAACAACAAAAACAATTTATATAGCGAAGTTTCTACATCACAAGAGACCACAATCATACCTAGTATGATCATTTTGGTTACGAAAGAAAATAACCATCAAAACAATACTAGCCAATTTCACCAACATTGATGAAGGTCCCACTAGCAAACCAGTGAGATAAGTTTGCATCGACAATCTCACCACCCTCATCCTCCGCTCTTTCACATACTGATCCATTGCTTCTCCAACTTTATGCATCATCATCTGACTTCGGCTTTGGATTTGATCAACTTCACTAAGTTTCTGATACAAACATCTAGCGAGAACAATAGCATCTTCCAAACCTGCCGAACCACCTTGTCCAAGGAATGGACCCATAACATGCATTGCATCCCCAGCTACTGTTACTGTTCCTTTTCGAAAATTTCCCAATAGCAAGTCCCATGGAGCACGATATCTCAAGCGCGTGAGAGATAATGATTTTACGTCACTGTCTTCGATCATTTGTTGAATTTCAGGTGGGAAACCATCGATTAAGGGTAGGGTTGACTGTCTAATAAGGTCTGGGTTTTGTAAAGCCCTGGCGTCTGTTCATGTGCAGGTAAACAACATAAAAACAAAAAAAAGAAAAAAGAAAAAGAAGAGCATACCGCCTGTAGACTGACCTTGTGCACATTTGCACATCCTACGCTATTTATAAGCACACAGAGAAAGCAGCTAGCATATTAAATCAAACGTATTAGAAAATACTATTACCTTTAGGAGTGGATTGTTGACCCACCATCCAGTGAACTGACTTATCGTCAATTGGAACTCTTCCTACCATAATGTTATTCCTCCTCATTCGGACAAATTCATGGGCAAATGCATGGCCACTTGGATACTTCGTCAAACCTCTTACAGTAGACAGGGGAAATGCTTTTGGGGGTTTTAACTGAAGGAAGTCAGCTACCACCGAATTTGCTCCATCACATCCAATCAAAACCTGCAAGATTAGTAGCTTTCCTCTCAAATTGTTTTTAGTTCACTATTGTCAATATTAGTGTTTCATCTTCTTAAAACTAAAATTAGCTGATAATTCAAATTCACATGTTGATTTGTTAGGTGCACCTGATGAATTAATGGACCAGGCAATTTATCTATAAAAGAAAAGAGTGTGCATGAGAAATAAAGTGATTTAAACTCTTTTTTTTTTGGATAATCGGGTGTCCGGGCCAATTTATGCACACCTCGACTAAATCCCGGGGCTTGAAGTTAACAACCGGGCAAACCTCCAATGGTCTCAAGGTTTGGAATGTTTGCCTTCGTGGGTTTTGAACTTGTGACCTCTTTGGCAGTAAGCCCTTTGGTTGCTTTCTTCATTTGCTAAGCCAAACCCTTTGAGGTTAAGTTATTTAAAAATTTGCTTACACAATTTATATTTTCCCTCTTAATGCTGTGTTTGGTTGAGGGATTGGAGAAGAAATTTGAAAACGGAAAGGAAAAAGGTATGTGAAACTAGGTGAAATGAAAGTATATTTTATTCATATTTCACTTTCCTTTTCCTTTTCCCTTTTCCTTTCCATTTCCAAATCCCTTCCCAAATTCTCCAACCAAACACAATGTAAAAGTTCATCTCTTGTGTTTGAGATATGATTATCTTGCTCTTTTAAAAAGGTTCTCACACTTTGAGCCTAAATTTATTCAAATGGTTGCGCTGGATAATGAATAGAGATTGATTCAACTGATTTATCACAAACCTAATGAAGCCTCTGAGCTTGTGTGTGTATTTCGGTGCATGAATACAAATACCTGATTGTTTTGATGATCTATATGTAAATGTATGTCTTATTAGATGGGTTTATTGTTATTATTTTGAGGGCGTTACATCCAGTCTATTACTCAAATGCCCTTATTGACTAAGGCACAAGATTACAATCTACATGGATGACATTGCTAAAATTATGTAATAATAGCTCTTTTTTGTCGACCTGGATACAAGTAGCAACCAAAACAAGCTAGGAAAACACAAGTTTTCTAGAGAGTTCTTCATACCCCAATACAAAGCTATATATGCAAGTAATTTGCAATTTCTTGCTATCAAATATATATAAATATATAGTTCAACATTATTTGTTTGACTTCATGAGGAAGAGACATCTCCCATAGAAATTGATGTTACTGATGGTGTTTGGGAACTTGGGTTTAGAATTTTTTTTTTGATTTTTTTTACTAAAAGATAAATTTTTTATAAAATAATAAAAAAAAACACATCCGAACAAAATATCACATCCAGCACCATAATCATTTCACTTTTTCTCTCACAAACATTACATCTAACCACGAAAAAACCCAACTATCTTCTCAATCACCAAAATTTTTTTATCCAATAATATTCTATAACTAAAAAAACCTACATAAAAACCCACTTTTCAAACATCCACTAAGTATTGTAAAGAAAATGATTCCAACCTCAGACACAGGAAACTAATTTCAATGATCTTTAAAGGTCCTTCCTCAATTCAAGCTTGGAGGACAGAGATAAAATAAAGAGAAATGTTAGAGATCATAAAAATTTTGTTATGAAAAGGATTATGAAAAATTTGTGACCCTTAGATTACCTTGATTAGTGTGTGGTCCTTCATTTTAGGTATAATCTAAAGATCACAAATCTTTCATAACCATTTTCATAAAAGACTTTTCATGATACCTAACATTGGGCTAGCTATACGTGTTTGCACTACAACACAATTTTCAATAACTTAATAGATGGATCATAATGCTGATCATATACACGTGCATGCATAATAAATTGGTTACAGAGTAAGTTATTGTACACAATTGCCATATAAAAGCAACGGAGTGAAGATCGATGATGAACATTAATTAATTACCTTGGCAACAATACACCTGCCATCAAGCAGTTGGAGAATTGGATTGGAAGTTAAAGGATCCAGCTTAACACCTACTATCTGGCACCCAAAATGTATTGTATGTGGTGGCAAAGCATCTGCTAGTGTATTGATAAGGTCACTCCGCTTCAAGCATCGAGCTTCACCATGCCTATCCTAACAAAAGCTGGCTAAAATTTTTCTGTTTTGGCATTTATTAAAGTATATTTAATTGGATTCATTCCATCCCTTTTGTGTAATTAAGTCCCAAATATCCTCATTAACTTTGGGCTTATTAATTTATAAATTAGAACCCCCAATTGAAAAACACCCTGATTCAGAAAAATAAAATAAATAAATAAAGAAAAGGAGAATTAAACATTTGAGCTTACCCAAATGATGTTTCTTTGGTTGAACCCTTATCAAGCCATACCTCTCGAGCCCTATACTTATGCAACGGCCATATAGTTAGAAGTAGTATATATGCCTGGAAACATGCATTAACCATAAACTACTTTGCAATAATTTGAAATTTGCTTCACAATTATCTGTGTTTCGATTTTTTAAAGGTTCCACAATCCCCGCAAGGGTGTATGTTGCATGCAGAAACTCATCGGAGAGTAGAGGAAATTTGTGATACATAAACGCTAGAACACTGTTCTGTCTTCTAATTCCGTGCACCTAGCATTTCTGTTTGTGATATAAATAACTCACCAAGGCATCCCGTTTAAATGTCCACACACCCGTTCGTCAGAGACACATCTCTTTTTGAGAGTTGTTATGTGGGATAGAATAGGATGCAACTCTTTTCCAAGTGTTTTATCCAATAGAATTCAAATTGAAATGAACCTGTAACTACCAAACAAGTTCCCACATGAGAGGTTTGTCACCACTCCAAGAGGATCAATTGGACACAGGAGGGTGCACCGTGTTATGGTGTGATCACCTCCTATTCCATAATTATTTAGTTGTAATGTAAGAATTACAAAAGAGATTGAAAATTGCAAGCTTATGTTCTTATTCAAAATTGAACTACCACAAAACCAATTTGAGCTTTTGAGTTACTTGCATCGGCCTAGCTAGGCGATCAAATGGTAATTAATATTTTGGCTCTAGGCATAAATTTTTTTATTAAATTCTACCAGTGGTTCAAGGACCTATGTAATCATTCATGTAAAATACACACTCGAGAAAAAACAAAAATAAATTACAAAGAATATGTTTGCATAATAACTTTTTCAGAAGAGATATGTCCACTGAAAATTGAGCAAAAATTTAATTGTTGGTCCATATTCAAATCTTGTATGGTGGGGACCACTTCTAAAATGAATCCAACACACATTAATGCTTTTGTGCATTTATTCTGTGCATGTAGTATTGCTCTAATTTTCTGCATTTATTCTATGCATGTAGCGTTGCTCAAAATTTTCTCACTTGCATTTTGCTACTCATAGGCTTATATAATTTTTAACTAAGGTGAGAGAAAACCAAGGTACTACTATTCTTTGTTTTTCTTTTTGTTTTATGTTTTCATCATTTTGGTGCTCCCCAATACAAAACTTGGATCTCCATACCCAATGTGTTGCTTTAAGCTTCATACCTAAGAGCATTTCCAAAGGTGTAGAAAATTTTCTTTTTAGGAGTTATTTTATCACAGTAAAAGTGCACATAAACAGACTTGTTATGAGTTGCTCCATTCATTAATATTTATTATGCTAAAATAGCAAAGGTGCTCAAGCAGTATAGTATTGTTATTGTATTTGTAACTCGTTTTTCACTACTTATCAACCACCATTCACTAACTACTAATTTAAGTCAAAGTTACAAAATAAATAAAAATTGCATAAAACAAAACAAAAAAAATAATCATGGAAAATCAGAAAAAGTTCCCATCAAAATTGGAGGTTGTTGACTGTGATATTATTTTAACATAAATCTCGCTTTTACTTCATTGATAAGATAATAAGCTTTTGCATAAGGCTCCATGTTGGAGTTATCCAAGTCATAATAAATAATAATCATATAATTTTATTTTTTGGCCCTCTATTTTGTTCATGTCCTCCATCACTCTTTTCTTTCTTTTAGAGCATTTATAAAAAATTGAAATAGGAATAGCATTTCTCTAATGAATAACACTTCTGGGACCCTTATATGCGGAATATAAAAACACAAAGTAAATCATTGACTTATCAATCAGTACGTGGTAGGGCGAAAAAAAGATGTAAATTTGTATATCTATTCTATGGAAAAGTCATCACAAGAATTAGCTGTAGAAAAATAGCTATCAGTTCCTAACTATAATTATTTAATAACTGCAAACTTTGAAGGAAAATAAAACAAATAGTGGTAAGATCTGAACTAACTTTTGTTTTGGAAAAGAAATTCAGTAAAACAGATATAAAAATGTGAGTGCAGAAGATAAGGATAGGAGGTAATTACCTGTTTGCATATTCTATTACCTTTCATTTGATCAAAGTTCGGGGTGCCAAAAGCAACGGTATAGAAAAAATCCCGCCATAACAGCTGCGACACCGCACCTGCTATCTCTCTTGTGGACTCGTTGAGGTCGGGAAAGAGAGTAAGTAGACCACGGGGAGTATTACAGACTATCTCTCGCAACAGAGTGTTACAGACTCTCTCTCTCAGCACAACGAAGAGTTTTTCAGAGAAATTCGCAGGTTTTTTTGTCTCAGCCTCTGCCTCAGCATCAGGTTCAGTCTTGGTTATATAGCCGAGGCAGCCACGCGCATCGCGCGCCTCTTGACGCCCGACAACCTGGCACGCCTTTTCATGGCACGCCTTTTGATGCATTTGGGCACGCCTTTTGATGGCACGCCTTTTGAGGGTGCGGGCACACCTTTTGAGGGCACGACTTTTGAGGGCTCGATATCTATATCCATGTATATCTTTTGGGCAGCCTATATACACACTCATACAGTGTCTTCTACACCAGTCAGCTTTATCAATCCCTTTTCAACCTCAAATAGGTTTTTATCTTCACACCTATTTGAGTTTGAGGGGGGGTTATCCACAGTATCATGTATAAGTCGCCCATGGCGCACTCCCTAAGTCACCTCCTTGGTGCACCACCACAAGCTTCTACATCTGACATGACCACACAGTGTCTGCTTCAACGTGTCTGCTACAACGGTCCGACATGACCCCGTAAACTGTCCTGCTCCAACGGTCCGACATGACCCCGTAAACTGTCTTCTACATCGGTCCGACATGACCCTATAAACTGTCTTCTACAACGGTCTGACACGACCACACAGTGTTTGTTACAACGGTCCGACATGACCCCGTAAACTGTCTTATAAAAGTGTCTCCTATCCCATTTTTAATTGTCAGCCTATTTTTTCTGTTTTGTTACTCTCTCCAAACTCAAGTTGGCTAGTACCTATCCTCCTTGAGTTTGAGAGGGGCTGTTAATGTAAAATGTAAATTGTAAAATATAAACTACCACCCACCTATCACCTCCACTACCACTCACTCCACCTACCACCTCCACTACCACCTTCACCTACTCCCAAATCCTCTCCTATATAAATCCTTGTAATATACATCAATCAATACAACATTCATCAATCAATATATACACAATTTATTTTCTCTCTCTCTATTAATTTATCTTACATGATCGGATGATTTTTTATTTTTTATTTTTTTAATTAAATATAATGATTGGATAATCCTTTTGCATAGCCATCAAAAATGGCAAACATTGCAGGGGAAATTTTAGGAGTATAATCGAAAGGATTTTCCAATCACATTACAAGCTGTTTCCCATGGACAACAAAGAAGCAAGAACTATCAAGTTTCTCTATAGTGACGAATTGACAACCACCTTGCTATCAATGGTAGACCACTCTTACAAGAATATTATCACTAAATGCACCATACAAACATCCACACTGAATGGGAAGTTGTTTGCTTAAAGAAGAAATTTCAGGGTGCACTCACATCTTTGCGATCAACCAGGCCTCCAATGTTGCCACCTCCAGCCCAAATGCTCTCCACCACACTCAGAACTCTTCGGTTAACTCTCCATTTGGTATTTCCTAGTGTGTCCAGGGCCTGAACATGTGCAATTTTAAAGCAATATGGTTGTGATCTAACTTCACACATAGGACAAACATTAATGCTTTGGAGAAATATAAGGAAAAAATAAATATATCAAACCTAAGCTTTTACCTCGTATCCTTTCTGCATTTGTTTCACAGCAATTTTCTTAACAGCATCTTGTTGCTGCCTCGATCCATGAGTTCGCATGAGATAAGAAGGTAAGAAAAAGTACCCGCCTTTGTCATACCTGAAAGGAGTCATAAAAGACACTTCAAATATAAGTGAAAATTTTAGCTGAAAGCAACCCTCTATTTCTTTGATTATATCTGAACATACTGGAGTGTCAATTTTCTTTTTCTTTTTCTTTTTTTTCTCATTAGCCTTTTGAAGAGGTCAGATAGGGGCAGATCACAAAACATGATGACTTGAACTTTGTGTCCGACTAACACAAACCCAAAGCCAACCACCTTAAGGGCCAGGTGAACAACATCATCACATGTTGAGTGAATAACATACCCTTTCCATTTTTTCGGAGGCACCAACATTGGCACATAAGGAATCATCATATGCTTAACCTGCATAAAGAGAAATGTTCGAAGGATTAGACATGAAGGACAAATCAAAACAAAAACAAGTACTCAATTTTTTTTATTTGCATATTTGGAATTTATAATCAAGAAAAAAATTTGTATTACTTTCACAAATAATATAATTAGTGGGTTCATAGCAGTCGTCTGAGAAGCACGGGCACGGGCACGGACACGGGCACGGACAAAGACACAGGACACAATGGTTTCAAACAAATGGGAACACAATCACGGCGAGGACACAGCAATAAAATCTTTTTCATATTTGCTATGTAGATTATCATTACATCCACAAAGTATCCAAAAATAAAAAATCACTTTGGAATTAACACTTGTCGTTTGTATCCATTTTATGGATGATTGTTAAATATTTAAATCTAAGCAAAAGAGTAATAAACATTCAACATCCAACATCCATCAAAAGCACTAAAGAAAAGGGGGAAAAAACCTAGTTGGCATGTCCCCAAAGTGTCCTTGTCATTTCTCCTGAAAACATATTAATTAAATAAATGTGTCCCCACCGTGTCCCTGTGTCTCGGTCGTTTCTGACACCCCTACGGCACTTCGTTTGTTTCCATTTTATGGATGATTGTTAAATATTTAAATCTAAGCAAAAGAGTAATAAACATTCAACATCCAACATCCATCAAAAGCACTAAAGAAAAGGGGGAAAAAACCTAGTTGGCATGTCCCCCGAGTGTCCTTGTCATTTCTCCTTGAAACATATTAATTAAATAAATGTGTCCCCTCCGTGTCCCTATGTCTCGGTCGTTTCTGACATCCCTACGGCACTTGTTTTGCAGTGCCGGCAATTCATAGGCAGTTGTAAACGCAATTCAAAATATTCCATTGCTTAAAATGTACTTTAAATGTGAAAGATTAAATATCCAATAAAGAACAAATGGAAGGAAGTATACTTCAGTCCACAGGACAATATATCTTATTGTAACACATCATTTATAAAAAGCACAAAAGTATTGGGATTGAATTAGTATTTATGCATACATTCTCATCCAATTAAATAAGATTTATATTTCCTAGGTGAGATAAACTGCAAATAAATATTATGCAAACCAAATGAGCAAAAAAGAAGAGATATTAACTCACAGTTCTATCAAGTCCTGAAAGGACTAGGGGATCACATTCTATAACTCCATACCTCTTAACAACTTTCTGCCTACAAGGACCAAACAACAAATCAGACTTACAACTAACTTAGAAAGACAGAAATAAAGCAGCGGTGAACCGCCTCCATTGTGCTATGTGTGCATATAACCATAATAACTTAACACAAACAATTCAATTTGTTGGCCACATTTTTTTTAATAAGAATTTTCTGACCACATTTTAAATACAGCATTGACACAAACAAATGAAATGTGGAACTTAAAAATCAATCATCAAACAAAATTCATCTGCTTAGGCAATATCCCCTCCAAGAATTGGCCTAATGATCTGTCTAAATATTAGCACATCATGGACCATGAATTAGTCAGATAAGGTCCAGTGCTTTGAAGATGAATTACTGATGCAAAGAATTACATGCTCACCCAGGATCGTTTGAAATTCTGAATAAGTGCCTAAATGCAGGTCGAATATCAGGTGGACTATCTGCTAACTGGTTGACTGGAGGCTGTACATAAGCTGTTTCAGTTAATAATTCTATCAGACGACATCCTAGCTGTATTACATTAGAAAAAGAAAATAATTAGTAACTATAGAACATAAAGAGATATATATATATATACCCATCACTTATTCATTTCAGTAGGAATAAATATTGATGGCCACAAACTTTAGCCTGTGTGTCACGACCCCAAGGCTTAATTTCTTCATCTTTCACCAGCTTTTGCACCTCAAGCATCTTTCTTCTTCTGATCAAACTTTTTACACGTTTCCTTCGTATCTCAGCATCCTTACGAAAGCTTTCTTCAGTTGGAGCTCCAATCTTCTTTCTCTGGTACATCTTAGTTTTCTCCAAGAAACTATGAATTCTAACCTGTACTAATTGCAAAAATAATAACAAGATTATCAATAATTTTATATTTATCCCAAATAAGAGATAATGAATAAAAGAAAAGTTAATTAGACAAAATCTTTTTCCTGATGGCTGATATCGATACTTCAAATAATAATCGAAGTGAGATTAAAGGGCTCTATTCATTCCTCGAATTAGATGATGCATGCATATCGTTATGCCCAACTTAATCAATTCACTTAGTCTCATTATTTGCCAATCCTCTAATGAGCTGATTTGCTTATTCAAAACGGCTTGCATTAGTTACAAGTTACAACTTATGCGTAAGCTCACAATGAATGTCAATTAAAATGGAGATCAATGGTTAATGCAATACCTTCCAATGCAATTCAAATTTGATTCGAAACTTGATGAAACCTTTAACCAAATCTATCCCAACCAAAAGTCTGAAGTAAGAAATACATATTTATCTAATGCTTGAATACAAAAATAGACTTAATGAACAATGAAGTCACTTGTGTTCCTAATGAGAAGCAGGACATAATCACTTCCTTCCCATTGCTTCTTATCTTCTTTAAGGCTTCAGTCCTTATAGAAGCAGGACATAATCTGTAAAAACCGAATCCCAAATATGATTGTAACTGACTTATTACTAGATATATCGTATACAGAAACACACATGTAGGTATACAGGCTCGAGATTCTAATTCCTTATTCTCTTTGCCTAGAAAACCTTAACAAATTAAGAAAATCCTTTCACACTGTACACTACACGCTAACCCCCAGCGCCACATGGCGCTCTGCCAATGGCTGAAAAAAAAAAAAAAAAATTGTTTTTTTTGGCCAATCAGGAGTGACCCCCAGTACCCCCACTGGGGGTCTTAAGCTTTATTCTTTTTCTTGTTTGTTTTATCATTATTTTTACTTCAAGGAAGTCCTTAAACTTTCAGGGCATAAGCCTAAACACAATTGCTTGATCATTGTGTTGTTTGGTGAGATTTTGGTTAACGCTCTATCGATCTAAGCTTAATAAAAATTTTGCCAACAATTTTTGGCACGTCCAGTGGGACATCATCCTAACTTGGAGAGAAAAAAAAAATGATACAAACAAAATATCAAGAAAATATGCCATCAAGTGGCATGTTTGCATCTTATGCATCCATGGATGCAAACTACTAATGGAGTGGCAATGTTCCAATGGGTACGAATTATTATTAGAATGCCTCATCTTCTATGTATTGTAAGGCCCCGGTGTCTCATATCGAGAATGAAGGGGGAGTTCCTAGGTTATAAAAGTAAAAACCTAGACCCTTATATAGCATCGAGGCCTTTCCCCAAATGGTGAAATCTCTATTAGAACTCCCCAGTTAAGCGTGCTTCGGTTGGAGTAGTTCTAGGATGGGTGAACCACCGGGAAAAACAAATCTGTGCGGGCGTGGCCCAAAGCGGACAATATCGATGACGTGTAAAGGGTCGGGACGTTACAAATGGTATCAGAGCTGACTCTCTGGAGTACCGAGTGTGGGCCCTTGGTGTCTCTCGGTGCATGTGAGCGGGCTTGTGAGCTGGCAGGCTACTGCACGGGGACGTGCAGCCTTATGGGGGGTGGATTGTAAGGTCCCGGTATCTCATATCGGGAATGGAAGGGGAGTTCCTAGGCTATAAAAGTAAAAACCTGGACCCTTATATAGCATCGAGGCCTTTTTCTCAAATGGTGAAATCCCTATTAGAACTCCCTAGTTAAGCGTGCTTCGGCTGGAGTAGTTCTAGGATGGGTGACCCACTAGAAAGAACAAATCCGTGGAGGCATGGTCCAAAGCGGACAATATCGATAATGTGTAAAGGGTCGGGGCGTTACATGTATAATGATTGTCAATATTATGATAATGATTCTACAACATAATAGTATGACAAATGATTTGGAAAGAATAATTCAGTGTTGTGGGGATGAAATTTATTGCCGCAAGAATGAAATTTTGGCTCTACAAGAAGAAATTAATTCTCTTGATTGGCAAAAATTTCAAATAATTTCATCACCGTCATGTTATTTGATGCAAAAAGATATAAATTACTTTGATAAAAAAACTCGTCAACTTAGTTATTAATTTATCAAGTTGATGGAGAAATTCAACACTGGAGTAAAAAATTAAAGAATCTTAAAAAGCACAAATTTTATGTGTTTATGAGAGGCTTTTCCAAGCAAAACTTTCTCTCCACAAAAATCATGGCTAAGGAAAAATTAAGTTCTAAAAATGACATGTCGGAGGGGTAGTTTTTTAAGCCATTAATTGAAAAAGAAGACCAACTTGTCTTGCTAAAAGCTATTAAGCATTTTAATCCAATTAGAGGATATGGTTTTAAGTCAAATATGACAAAGAATGTTGAATTACCATTACAAAATGATGGTGAATATTCAATTGGAGAGTATGATTTTAAGCCAAATATGGTTAAATTTGATGAACAACCATCACAAGATGATGATGAAAATTCAATTGGAGGGCATGGTTTTAAGCCAAATATGGCTAAACTTGATGAAAAAATATGGCTAAAAATTATGAACAACTTACATTTGATGAATTTGAAGTTTTCGACATTGTTGATTTTGTCAAAAAAATTAATTTTCTAAATTCAATTGACATTATGATTTCTGTTATCCAACAACTACAATGGCTTTGTGGTTCACGTCAAAAATTAATTTTGATAAAGTGGTTTACAAAAAGAAATTATGAATTTTATTTCTATTTTTTTATATAACAGTAATGGGGGAGTATTTGGATGTGATCTCAACAAACAAAAAACTATATATATATATATGGACAATGGATTATAATTTTCGTAGTTTCTATTATATATTTATGTTCATACAACTTTTAAAGAATTCGAATACTCATTCTTAAAAAGTTGGGGGCATTGTTTACACCATAAATAAAATTTTTATCGATTTTAACTAGGTTTAACTTATTATTATTATTATTATTATTATTATGATTACGCAGAAAAATCT